GGGGGGGGGGGGGGGGGGGGGGGGGGGGGGGGGGGGGGGGGGGTTGTATGCCTCAGCGGGTAGACCATTGATCATACGTCCTCGGGAGAGGGTTCGGTAAGAGCCGTACGCCCGTTTGAACGCGGCAAGCATGTGCATCGCCAGGGATGGATGGCGGAGGGAATGGATGCGAAATGCGTGAGGGGGTGCTCATGTTTTGCATGACTTGTAGCAGTTATGACATTCATCACGCGTCCATAGGAGAACGGGGGGACGGGGGGACGGGGGGTCGGCGCGTATGTGCCTTTACGAACGCAGCAAGCGTGCGTATCGCCAGGGATGGATGGCGGAGGGATTGAATACAACAAATGGGTACTACCGTACATGAGGGGAGATTTGACTCTGCGTACGTGTGTTTTTTTTGCTCGGCAACGAATGATACGGCTGTAAATCGGCACCGACAAGACGCGAACTGAGGGCGGCGGCAGAGGAGGGGTGACTTCCAGCAAGTGCGTCGGAAGTGAAAACACAAAAACAGAATCGACGATACGACGCACAGGCGACAGAATTCACAATAAGCAGCCTTGAGTACAAAAGAACACGTCACGCGAGTACAAACAAGCAAAGCTAGGCTAACCCTAACACAGCAGACTGTTGCCCCCAAAAAACAAACAGTCGTAAGAAGGCGACGCCGGACGACATGCTCGGTAGAACAAACAGAAACACAACACACAAACACACACACCCGAGAACAAGGAGCAACAGCATAAGCATCAGCATCAGCATCAGCGGAGAGGAAAACCACCAGCTCACCAAAACAACACCGTAAACCCCGTCCTGTGCCTAGACCACAACACTCGCGCCAGCAAGCCCAACAACCCCATACCGACCCAGAGACACCGCCGCCGTCTGTCGAACTCTTGTCTTCCCTGCAAGCTTCGTTTTTCGCCTATCTTCTCTTCTCTCACCTGAGCATTCGCAAGGACCTTCTGCAGGCTGAGGTAGGCGTCCCCTCGGAGGTTGATGGGCGTCGGGGGAACCCGCGGACGGCACTGTCCGGTGGGGAGTTTCTCCTGGTCATCGGCCACCAGGAGCGAGGTAAGGGGGACACCTCCCACCTGTTCCAGAGAGAGAGAGAGAGAGATGGGGGGGGCGGGCGGGGGGAGGTGGAGAAAGCACAGGCGACAACCGCTGTTTTTCGTCAGTAAAAACGAGATAACAAAATAGAACGAGAACACGCAGAGGTGTACTATGTCACACCACGTCGCGCCATGCAAGACGCGCGCGCGCGGGGGAGGGGTGTCTTCCGTTCTTTTTGGCAGAATTATTCCTCAAAAGACAACAACGGCCGCAGCATCAGCGTCGAGGGGCGTCTAGAGGACTTTACTGCTCTACTCTACTCGCGAATGTGTCGGTGTGTGTGTTCGTCCCATCTATCTGGCGCCGGTTTACAGGCCTGTCGGCGTCTACACCTGACGTGTCAGCCGGGGTCACAAAAGAGGAAGAGGTCATACAGGAGTTTTTTTCATTTTTTTTTTGTTGTGTGGCGAATACCGCAAGAAAACAGGGAAACAGCACTTGTGAAACAGTCACGAACCCTCATCGCGGTGCCGGGCAACAACGGTCGCCAGACCACCCACAGGGACCACGCGGTGATCATTCAGACCTACAATCTTGTCGGTGAGAGCTCAACAAAACCTCCAAACCCACGCTCCAAAAGAAAAGTCACAACTCCCTTCCAAGAACACCGTGATTCAAACATATATCCCTGCCACTTCCATGGCCCACGATCTGTCGACGACACCATCCTACAGACTGCAGTAGCCAAGCCCCCCCCTAACCCTTGAGTTACCGAACACACACACCTTCCAGCCCTCCACCGGCTCCTTGAGGCCGGTCACGGTTGCGAGGTATCCGCTCATCCTGCGGTGCATGAGGATAGCCACCGCTCCTCCGAGGGTGAACGCGTAGTCGCAGTCAAAGTTGCTGCGAGGCATCGATACCATCGCGTTGCCGCAGATATACAGCAGAATCGCAATCGCGGAAGCAGAGGTCCAACAGAAAGAGGCACGCGAGGACAGGAGGGGCACTCACGTCAGCGCAAGAGTGTGCCGCAAAAAAAGGTGCTTTTTTGAGCGTCGGTGCTGATTCGGTTGTCGCCGCCGCACGCCTTCGTGAAAACCTTTCTGTTGTCAGGGGAAATTGTTCAACCTTTCATCGATTTTCATGGACAATGCTTCGGGCGGACCCGAAGCACGGCCATCCGATGGAAAGGACGAGCAACATGGGTCATGCCAGGAACAAACACTATAAGGTCGACATCAAGCGGTTGCTTCGCTACTCTCGAGCTCTCCAACTCGGTCATCACACATGACCAAAACCAATGCACGCAAGTCACAACGAGCAATTGCCACGCATATGCGTGCAGGGGATGCGAAGCAAGCAGCAAAGGCTGAACCCAACATGTTGAAAAAAAAAAAAAGGATAACAAAAAATGGACAAACAAATAAATGTACACGACGCTTCGGCAAGCAGGGTAGTAGGCGAGGAGGAAGGATAGGCTGGCTTACCTCGGGAGGGCGCTCCGGGCCTGGTAGCCGAGGTGGCTGCACACCGCAGAGAAGTTCCCCTTGTAGCTCCCGGCCTCCTTCCTCCTTCGCAGCTCCTCCTCAACGAAGCAGACCAGCATCTTCTCGGTCTCGATCTGGGACAGCTGGACGCGGTGGTTGCTCTGTCTCTCCAGGCACAACTGGAAACAAAAAACATGGTACGACATCAAGAAGAGCGAGCAAAACGGCAAAAGAAGATTTGAAGGGAAACGAGGGGGGGGGGGAGAGGAGATGAGGCCTCGGAGGACGGATCGGATGTTACACGTAGGTCTTGCACTCTGTATATACTTGGACGTGTGCAACTTACCCACCGCACAGAGACGCTCATGTGCGAGCTCATGAACACCGCAGCTCTCGGCAGCATCAGCATCAGCATCGATCCAACCCATGCACCTCGATGGTGCACCACAGCTTGACCTTGTCAAAAGCGAACCCTCTCAACAGACCCCGCCAATCGCTGGACCTTCGCCCCCTCCTCAGAGCAAAAAAAAAAGGCAACACCCAAAAACAAATTTTACGACGACAACGTACCTCTTCCTGGATAAACGCCGGCAGCGACGCCAGCAAGGCCTTGCTCCAGACCGTGAGCCGCTCCTGCACCTCCTCCCTGGACAGGGTGTTGGACGACGACTCGGGCCCGGCGTGCTCCACGTACAGGGCGTCGATCTCCTCGATCAGCACCTCCATCTCGGGGATCGCGGTAACGAGACCTTCGGGGATCTATCAAAGAAACAATCGTGTTGGATTTACGTTGGAACGCCCCCACACACACATAAAAACGAGGAGAGGAAACGCAAAGAAGGGTGGAAATTAGGCGGAATCCCGATAGACAATACAAAGGGGACTGCGATCGTCGTGGCCAACGCCCTTTTAAGGGTCAATCACCTCACTCCGATCTACCACACATGTTCAAAGGACAAGAGGCTCGTCTTTCTCTTTCTATCCCACCCCCATCTCGGAGAAGACGGTAGCTGTATCGGGGAGTAGGAAGTGGTTTGAAATGGGGGGAAGTAATATCGTTAGAACAGATAGACTAGGAAAGACATTTTCGAGCCACCTTTGGCAAAGTAACAAAGAACGATTTGCCATCGGTGATCGGTCCTGTGGAAACAATGTTCAGTCCTCTCGAGGACGCGTGGTCAATGGTCTAACCGCTAAGGCATGCGGAACATAAGGAGAGGTAACCAGAAACGGGTAACACGGGTGGATTATCACCATTCCAGGGTACACTTGGAAATCAACACGACACCAATCTCGGACAGCAGTCGCCGAAGATCGCGGCGAAACCGACAAACCGCTGTGTCCTGTGTCCTGTAGCTCGGAAGCATGATGCACGAGGCAGCAGGTCGTGCCCGTTTTCCTCTCTTTCTGTGCCTGCCTCACTCTCTCTCTGTGCTTTTGCGCATCAGCACAACACCGAACGAACTCGCGCGTCAAGGTAGTCCGACCCTCTGTTGAGAGGGGCTGGTATCCTATGGAGGTGCCCATGAATGATGAACGAGCGAGCGTTGGTGGTGTTTCTGGTTGTTATTTATGTGCGGTACACGGGTTTTCTGCGGGTTCTATGCTAGAGCGTCGGGCACCGGGATTATGATCATGTCTGGGTACAGAATCGACCTCCTCCGGGTACACCAGTAACCAATGTCGGTCACACCAAAGGGTCCTAATTTCAGCGGTAGTTGTACCCGACGGAGGTTTCTCCAGAAATGGGTACGGTAGTTCTTCGGCCAATCAGCTGACAGCCTGGAGGTGCAAGCGTGTTGATTTCTGACTGTACCCTAAAGTGGTGATAAAGTACCCGGGTATATTGGGGATCCAATCCCTACGGTCGGGAAGAGAGGCGAGGAAGCTGACATGGCAGTATCGCATGTGCGGGATGGGAGAGGAGAGGTTGCCGAGAATTGTATGGGAGGCGAAGTGGGCAAACAAAAAGAGGGGTAGACAACCCACGGAATGGGTCAAGGTTGTAGAGGACGTATGGAAGGGGCTCGACATCGACGAAGATGAAACGCTGGAAACGGAGGGTCTACAGGGGTTCAAGGAGAAGATATCTGTTGCTTGTGCCGAGAGAGAAGAACAGAATCTGAGGAAAGAATCCAAGGATAAGGAGGGTCTAGAAATGTACGGGATGTTGAAGTAAGGAATAAGGTTCAAGGACTACCTACATGGACCAATGGATGCAGGAACAAAGGGTAAGGTCAAATTCAGGACCGGGGACATGGGCCTTCGAGAACGTCGACGAAGACATAGGACGGTAGACGACGAAGACGACGAGTTCAAATGTGATTGTGGCTTCGAATGCGAAGACCGTGTTCAGGTAGTCGCGGAATGTCCGTGGTACAAGAAGGAGAGGGAAGTGTACGTGACTGAGCTGGGAAAATTAGAAGGGACGTACAGGGAGATGTTCGAGGCATGGGAATAGAGAGGAAAGTGCGGTAGCTGTACTGGGGCATAGGAGGTGGGTTGAAAAGGCGGGAAGGGATATCGTTAGGATAGACAGACCAGGGAAGACATTTTTGAGCCACCTTTGGCAAAGTAGAAGGGAACGATTGGCCATCGGTGATCGGTCCTGTGGGAACAATGCTCCGTCCTCTCGAGGACGCGTGGTCAATGGTCTAACCGCTAAGGCATGCAACACATAGTAGTACCCCCCCCCCCTTTCCCCTCCCTCATCTCTCTCAGGCATGATCCCGCTCTCTCCCTGTCACCCCCCACCTCTCGTTCGAAAATCAAGTACACCCTAGCACACAAGCACGAGGCACGCGCGCACAGCTTACCACGATGGTGCCGAAGTTCTTGCCCTTCTCCGAGCGGGCCTGCACAACGTCCGAGATCTCCCGCACGATGTCCTGCAGCGACCAGCGCTTGGCCCTCACGTCTTCCGCAAGCAGCACCATGTTGGGGTGCGTCTGCATCGCCACCTCAAGCGCAATGTGGCTGGGGTCCTGTTTTGCGCATTTTTTTCGCGGTTGGATGTCGGTGGGGCGCCGTCATTGACGTGATGTGGGAGGGGGGGGNGGGGGGGGGGGGAAGGAACAAGCCGTCGTGGACTGGACTCGCGGATGGCATCCAACGACATGCGATGTCACATGGTTTGCGGAAGAAACAAAGAAGTGGTATTCATCACCTTGAGATATCAAACTCACCACCTGAACCTTCTAATGGATCGCTCAGGACTCGAGGAAGAAAAGAACAATTCCAGAATATTCATCCCCATTCGAAAGACATACAAGTTGGGAAGGGTCGTCTCAGCCCCCAAACATCTCCCCAACGCCACGATCTACCAAAAAGTCCACCACCACTACCAATGCCACGCACCTGTCCCATGAGGCGCATGAAGTACCAGTACTTCCTCGCGCTCGCTCCGTCGATGGCGGTGTTGCCCACCAGCTGGGAATACACCTTGACAGCGGTGTCGAACCCGACGGCGCTCTCCTGCAGTGCACGGCGGGTGGGAGGGCGGGCAGGGGAGCAGCGCCACAAGCACAGCGAGTCAAAACCATGAGCAACAACAACGACCCACGCAGTCATTATCCCGCATGAAGTTGGCAAGGCCTGGTCTCTACCCCTGCTCCTCTCAGTCCCTTTAGCTTCTCGAGTTTCCACTTCAAGAAGGAAGCAAGGCCAGCGCTCTGGTTGGTGATGCTTCATGACGGGAAATTTCGCCCCTTCTGCGTACACGTTCCAACAAAAGAAGGACCAACGCTGGACGCTTGCTTGAACTAATCAACATATTCCCGACACCGACAAGAGCACGCAACAGATGACGGCAACCACAAGAGCGGAAACGGCCAAAGCCAAGAAAAACTTTATGCCGCGAGTTCGGTCTGTCCACCCCGTCAATTGACTCACCACAAAGTTGTTCTTCATGCCGCCGCTGATGGTGCAAGGCACGCACGCGACGCTGGTCTTAATGCCGGCGGTGTGGAAGTACTCCGACAGGTACGCTGCGTCGGTAGCAGTGGTGTTGCCCCCGATCACCTTGGCAAGTACAACAAGACCGGGTGACACATCAGAACAAGTCGCATGTGTAAATGTGTCGGTTGTTGACGTCGCAAGGCAAGGAACAGACAGGCGAGGAGAGCGACAGAGAGAGAGAAAGGAAGAGAGGTTCGTGGTGGGCTTCCGGGCACTTCAAGGACACAAAATAAAAATACTGGTATGGTGATGACGAAATTACTATTTACTGGCAACAACAACAACAACACCCCACCAACAGGCTAAAAACGATAAGACGCTAGAACATTCCCCAAAGAGGCACCAAAAAGCCACGAACGCCAGAGCTACCAACAACTTACAACCAGCCCATCAAGGTCCAGCGCCGCGCAAGCCTCCTTGGCCTTGGCGAGCTCCGACTCGGTGCGGATGGAGTCCCGGCTGCGCCCGAGGAGGTCGAACCCGCCCTGGTTACGGTAGGCGTCGAGGAGCTCGTCCGTCACCTCGACGGTGGACTGCTCGAAGAGACCGACCGTGCCTCCGACCACGCCAAGCACCTGCGAATTTTTGTGTGTGGTAGGCATACATAGTGTCAGTATATCAGAATCGGAATCTATTGGGGTGGTGTTGTGTCCCCACACGAAGCATGTCAAAGCGTCTAGGTGAGAGCTGCAGACCTGATGCAACTGCGTGAATCGGTCTGCAACGTTGGTTGGATTATTGGAACCCATCGCATGGCGTGACAGGGCGTGCGAGACCGTTTCGTTTGACAGAAACTGTGGGATCTCGGCATCAGCGAGACCTGCCCCCAAGTTAGCAACACAACTCACCACGTCGCCACGCGGAGACACTCAAAAGAGCCCCCATACAAGTGGCACGGCAAACGCGCATCATGACAAAACAGGCACACAAAGGTAAGCCAGCAGCAGCATGCATTGCAGTGTCATCGACCCCCGAGATTACGTCGTTGGCAGTCTAAAAAATGAATCACACCGACGTTGTCAACAACCCACACGCGCGCGTGCATTATATCTCGGACCCGTGTAGACACTCATTCAGATCCCCCCCCCCAAAAAACAGCATACTACGGGGACTCCCCCCCCATGTTCGCCCCGCCGTCTCCCTCACCGTGCTACCCGTGCCCTTGAGGTACTCGTGCAGCCCCCAGATGATGTTGTGGCCCCCGGACGCCTGGCGCCCCGCGAAAAGCACCGCCACGCGTACCGGTCCGTTGGGGTCGCCGCCGTTCACGCTCCCGTTACTGCTGCCGCTGCAGTTGCTCATGATGCTGCCGCTGCCGCGGGGGTCGCCGTTCACCGAGTTGGCCGCCGGGGGGGAGGTCTTGGTGGTGACCTGAACCAAGCAGAATGACAAGGGATAGCGTCCAGGACCACCGGGCGTGTTCAAGCCATACCGAACGCACAGGCCATCGACCATGTATGCAAACACAGGTCTCAAAAAGTGCTTCAAGTGCCACAATCGCGAAGCAGTAAAGCAAATCGCCTAGCGCTTGAAATCGACACACCGATCTTCTCGTTTCTCGCCCCTGTCCTTACACGTGGCGGTCCTTGAAGCTTTAAAAACCTCGGATAACGTCGTGCACCATCATCGTTTATGGTCAAGTACCACTTCTTACCTGGCACAGGGCGCACACGGCTGTAGCGACAACACCAGCAGACCAAAATATCATTTACCCCTTGGGTGTACAGTGCCAGTGCTCTCGCCGGTTTGTTCGCTTCTTGCCATAATTTCAGTACAATAATCCCACGCAAACTGCCAGGACTGCTGCTGGTTATGGCTCCGTTTCCGTGTGCCTTTCTATCGTCTCCCTCCCTCCGCATCCTCCTTCGCACCCCGTCTCACCTGCAACAGCCTGGCGCCGTAGGTGCTCGGGAACATGCGCTCCAGAGGGCCGCGGTCCGCTTGCCTGCTGCTTTGCGACCGCTCGTCTGCCTCAAGCTCGACTCCCTCGAGCGACCTCGACTTCAAGCAGTCGGGCACCTAAAGGGCCACAAGAACAAGAAAGCGTGCGAGGCGAGGGAGGGAAGGAAGAGGAACGTATTTCAGCGGCGCCCGCGCCCAGCGCACCCCCTTCAAACGATTCGGGCTTTCATTAAAGTTTATTCAATGCTTGTAGCCAGTTACTTTCGTCAGGAATGTGAACCTGCAGTGTTCCCGCCCTCAGTCCCGGCTGCCGCTTGACATAAAAAGCTCTTATTACGAAAGAACAAAGAACCGAACGGAAAAAAATCATCCTGGTGGATACTGTTGTAGAGAGAAGCACGACAAAGCATCTCATAACACAATTGGCTCGCCTCTGCACAAGTGACCAGCACTGCCGCCGCGTGCGGTTGTGCCCCTTTCTGTTGCCACTGTTTTTGTTCCAAAAACACTCATCAGACTAGCGGTAGACATTTACCACATGCGATGCACCCGCCTCGTGCAGCAGTGCCCCAAAACACCATTTTCTGAAAAACCGTGGTGTCACGTTTGCGCTACTGGGAGAACCTGCTTTGCCTTGTTCTCCCCAACCCCAACCATGGGCCCAAAAGGAATAACATGCAGCAGCAGTTACACGGAACAGAGAGACACGGTACCACGACTAATACCCGACACAAACGGCGCAAAAGATTAAATTTAACACACTAGGCGCACGACCCAACCCAACGGGGCACAAAATCACAAACATAATAGATGCTGCACCTTAGGCTCGTAGTCGAGACGGGCGCGCTCGACAAGGCTGCGGGTCGCCTTTGTGGCCGGGCGGAACAAGAACTTGCTCGCACCCATGGCCACCGGCTCCGGGGCGGCGGTCTCGGAGAGGTCGCACTGGGTCAGCGCCTGGTACAAAGTACAAGGTGAGATGGAGATTGAGATTGAGAGAGGGAGATACAGCGGCAAGACAGAAAGCCATCGAGAGAGGGGGACAGACAACAAGTAGAGAGAAAGGGGGGGAGGGAGGGGTTGCGAAATGGAAGAGTTATTTGCCTCTAAAAAGTTCATAGCCCCGCTCGCTGTGCGTGCTCTGCTTCACGGGTCTGTCAAATCATATCAGAAGCCAAAAGCCAACCGACCGCACCACCAAGACCGACCTATTATTGCACAACCATCACACACACACACACACGCACACACTATTGGATTGAACCGAGCGATTTCCCACCATGTACAACAAACAAACAAGTTATCGTCATTTTGGCCGTTGACGGTGCTATTGGTGTCTTTGGTGGTGGTTGTGGTAGTTTTTTTGGGTGTACTTTCATGTCCGTGCCGATGCTGTTGCTTCAATTACGTGAGGGGGTGCTGAGTTGCGAGCTAGAACTGTCCGGCACGCAGCACGCTGTGTGGGCGTAAAGTTTCTTATTTTGGACGGGGTGCTTTGGTTGGCTACGCATGAAGGCCACGGTAATGTGCGACGTAGCCTTCGTGGGGAGTCAACGGCCACACCGCGGGGAAGAACATACCACCAGCTTGTATAGTACTACTACTCATGGACCGCGTCTCACCTTCGCCTTTTCCCCTAGCAGCTCGTACATCAGGGTCATGTTCGCGTTACGGGCGCCCTCGCTGTAGAACTGGATGGCTCCTGCTCCCGCCGAAACGAAAAAAAACAAAATCAGGTGGTGGGGTGGGGTCACTCACGCACAGCATTCAGTACGTCCCGGCATAGTGGGTCAACAAAAAAAGAAAAAATATATGAGGTGTATTCAAGTTTCGAGACTGCCGACGCGTAAGGTCGTCAACACAAACGAGTCTCGCAAAAAGGGGGAGGGCTTCGATGGAGACGAAGGGTCCTTGGGATAGATGGATCATCTTACAGGGGTCCGTTCGACACTACCATGCCATACTATTGATCCAAGCGCGCGCTGGATGGACAGGGATCGACCTCATCGTTAGGATCGCCCCAGCGTTTTAAGACCCCGGAAGAACAACGGCACCCACGGTTCTACAACCCTCAGCCTACCGCCTTCTCGATGTCTCTCAAACGGCACCGCCACAAACAAAGAAAATCACTGAACAAATTCCGTACTAGAACTAGTACAACTCAGGGCATAGGCAAAGAGAAGACTCAAAATAAGACCAGTATCCAGCCGTTTTCTTCACTGCAAAGACCAAGACACCTAACACATCCCCTTCGACTTCCCTCATATACGGAACGGGTGATTAGTATTTTGTATTTTGGTGCTGTTATGCATATGTATCTTATATTGTCGAGAAAAACAAACGCACCGGGCGCACGGTACATGTCGTGCACCATCCACTTCTCACGCTCCGCCGCGAAGGCCTGGAAAGGCTGGGACCGAGGCCCGTCAAGCTCGACCAGAGCCTTCATGATCACCGGCTTGTCCTTGCCCTGGCCAAACGTTCGTCAAGCGAAACACAAACAGATGGACCAACACTTGTGTCAGCGGCGGGAGGAGATCGAACGAAAAACGACCAACCTTTCCTGACCCCCCGCCCCCCCAACTTTGAAAGCGAGGCGCGTGAGGGTCGTACAGACGGCACCTTGCGTGCATAACATGCGCCGGCATTCACGCACGCACGCACGCTACTGGGTATATGTTGCTCCGTGTACGTATACTGTAGAAGTGATAATGTTGCAATGTGTGTACATCTATCCACATGTGCTCATCTGCACGTGTATTTCGCTACCCACTCGTGGACCATGCGAACAAAAATCGTTCAATCCTGACAGACCATCTGCATCAGAGAGACGATACATGTGGTCGAAAAGCATCACGACAACAACAGCAGCAGCAGCAGCTCTCAGGGACTCGTGAAACATGCGCTCTTCCACCTTTCGCCTCTCCATGTGGCACATCATCGTGATGGGCACTCCGCCCACGGTCCAGTCCTCGATGGGCATGTCCAGGTTGTTGGCGCAGGCCATGAGGGCGTTCATCCCCTTGGACGTCAGCGCGCCTGGTGCGTCGCAGCCAAGTGCCCGACACAACGAGGCAAGAGATGAAAGCAAGCAGGCGTTCTAATAAAACGACAATGTCATCGGGATTCGGTTGACGGGGCGGGGATCAAGTACCCACCAAAACTTCTCGCTCTCTCAATCTGTGTCTAAAAATAATTATTTATCTTCCTCCTACAGCTTAATCTACTCCTGGTTCCAGCTTCCGCTCTTCCACTTTCCTCGGTCATCTCCATTCATACAAGAACATGTGTTTACAAAGCTTGCCCCATCTTCTTCTAACAGCAGCATCTAGTCCTGGTCTCATCTTCCTCCCCTTTTCTCTCGTTCCCTGACTGGCCATTTCGGGACCCGCAAGCAGCGGCACGCGCGCTCTACAAGGACGGCTGCGCGATACACACCTGACCTCCCTTCAGCTTCCCTTCCTCTGCTTCTCTCTCCCACCCACCCCACCCGTTCCGCCATTTCGAGGGATGCATGCGAACGTCAATGGTCCAACGACTACGGCACTCGTTTACAAAAGTACAACCCCAACCCCCACACTACCGCCACCAACTAACTGCGAAACTCACCAGCAGTGTATCCCAGCGCGTAGCAGTAGCTGCAGTCGAAGTGGCTGGGGAGAGCGCAGCGGCCCTCGTAGCCAAACGAGTGAAACTGCGGAGCGAACCTGCCGCCGTACTTGCCTGGGGGATGAGCAATGGTCGCGTCACACGGCAATCCAGTGGGAGAACGGGTCGCAAGAGGTGTATGAACGCTTCTTATATACTACGAGGGCGAACAACACCGACGGTAGCTTAGCGGCTCGAGGATCTGTCGCTTCTTGTCGTTGTGTAGTTTCCGTCCCACGTTTCTTTGACCTCTCTGTTTTGTTGGTGTTTTGCTCTCCTCTCTTCTCGACAACGGGTGGAAGGAAACAAACAACGTCTGCACCAAGAAAACAGTTTCAGTCCAACAAAACTAGACGCGCACTATTATTTCGTGCATGCTATCACCCGCGCAGCCACGGCCGTAAAATGGAAACTACCATGAGTGATTTATTTATTCTGCTCAAGCTCACCCTCAGCAGCGAGCTTCTCCAATTCCGCCTCCACGGCCTGCGCCAAGAGCACCTCCGTCTCGATCTTGGCCACTTGGACGTTGCCGTGCGGGTCGCGATCCAGTAGGAGCTAAGGATAGATTAGAAACACAAGGAACCGAGACGCCCACCCAAACAGCAGTGGCACGTCGTAGGGTGGCGGGTAGAGTGCGACAGGGAAAACGGTCAACAGGTAGGTGCGTTGGGGACCCACGCAGACGCACAAAATAGAGAGCAGCTGACCACACCAGGTTAACAACAATATCGATGATATATGATCGGAAACATGCGCAAAGCACCGTGGAAACGCTTTCCGAGCGGCCGCGAAGTGGGTGAGATGAAGATCGATCACGTTGTCAAGATGGCAGAGATAAACGCGCGTACTTGCTGCAACTGAGCAAAATATGGCGCTCTCCAGCGTGACACTCTCCGAACTTCTGCACATAATTACCGTGGAAAGTTCCGAATAGAACACGTAACCCGAACCGAACCAGCGGATACCGTACCTGCATCTTGAGGGACTGCGGCAGGTAGTTGAACACGTTTCGGTTGGCCGGCTGGAGTGCGGGTACCACGCCCTCTGCAAAACAACAACAGGAAGAAAGACAACTGTTTGTGACGTTGGAGCCCACTCGCATCACAAGATACATAGGCAGGGACTGGGTGGGGCATGTCCATGTTTCATGTCCAGAACAAGAAACACGATATTTTCAAAAGCGACATGAGAGATTGCTCCTGCCGACTTGTCCCGTCTTGCACACCTGATCTCTCTTCTTCCGCCAACTTGCCCCCCATCCCCTCGCAAGGAACACTCAATGAAGGGAAAGTACCTCCAAAACAAGAGCGTCCGATCCGAGGCTCTCCCGGCTGTTAAACTCGTGACACAAACCACCAATCTTCGTACGGTCGTGACGGGTTTTACCGGATTTGAGCCCACGTGACCCCGGTACATCCATCTTCCTCACCGATGGTGGTGGGGATGCCGCTGGCCAGCACGTCATTGATGTCGCTGATCAAGGCGTTAAACTCGGGGATGAACTCGATCAGACCCTCCGGCAGCATGACGACGCCGTAGTTCTTGCCGGCTCCCGCGCGCTTGAGAATCATCTCCACCAGATCGTCGACGATCTGCGTTCGTTGGATCGCGACCGCACGGGTTTATTCGTGTGCAAGAGGACGCCCCGGGTCAAAAGCGACAGGCACGCGCTCCCATTCTAGCACAGGCGAAAAATCTCGTTGGAGGGAGGAGCGGAACAAGAGAGACTCGCCTCTCTCCACAAAAAACTCTATCAGCTGTGTTGTCTGCGAGCTTCTCTTCAACCCGTGACAACAAGAAAAGTCACTACACACTCTCGCGTACATTTGCACGCCCATCGTCCCAAACAAGCCTCCCCACGACAACCAAGAAACAACAACGACGAGGCAGCAGGCAAGCCCTGGAACAAGACACACCTGCTTGAGCGACAGGCCCTTGGCCTCGACCTCCTCGCTAATGAGGCACACGTTGGGCCGCGTCTGCAGGGCGCACTCGAGCGCGATGTTGGACGCCGCCCTTCCCATGAGGCGGATGAAGTGGTAGTACTTCTGGGACGCCAGCGCATCGAGCTGCACGTTGCCGATCTCCTCGCTGTAGAAGGGCGGTAAGAAACGCCACACCATAGCAAAATAAAGAGATGGTCACACACTAAAATCAGGCAGCAGTGCAACGAGCTCCATGCGGACGCACGGCTCGAAGGTCATGAAATTTTAGCCAATCGTGACGCAGAAAGACGGGATTGGTGTCACCGCTACAATATATTATGAATGTCAGCTGCTTCATGCTTCCTAAAGCCCGTTGGGAGCGAGCAAGATGGCCAGACAAGTCAACGACAAGAACTACCGAAGAGACACAAGGAACAAAGAGCATAGGGTGGCCTAGTCAGTGACATGTTTGACTGATACGATGGTTAGTGCAGCCACGTTGATTGAAGAACAAACGCATTATAGCATTCTGCGATGCCCATTCCTCGAACTTTATCATTACCCGCTGACACTGACGGCTATTGTCGGCCAGCGTGGTCGATGCATGTTCAAGAAACACGCCCACACACATGAGCGACTGGGTGTCTCTTATAGGAGACGACCTCGTGGCCTTCAAGATGGCAGACGAAAAGGAAGGGGGGAAATGGAAAGAGAGCGCCAAGGACCCGGAGGTGTGGTACAACAAGGTCGAGGACGGGGCGGCATGGCTCATGAGGAAATGGCACAGGCAGGAGGCGGAAGCGTCCGCGAAGCGCCAGCGCGCGAGGGAAGCAGAAGCAGAGAGTACGGCCATCTCAGGACCGAAGAAATAGAGAGTCGGGGAAGCGGCGGTGGGGGGGAAGAAACGGCGACCGGGCACTGCTGTAGAAGCGAGTAGGGCGGCCGAGGCAGCACTTGTGCCGAACTATGTACCCGGCTGATGCTGTTGCGCCCTGTTTCCCTCTCTGCTGTATGCTTTACTCCTTCATGCATGCCCTCTGTATTGCCTTCGGCCTCTGTGCTGTGTTTATTTCTGTTCATGTCCTCCCTGCTGCCTACTCTGCTGTGGTGGGTACCTTGATCTCGCTCTTGCTGTTGCTTTTGTTTTTGTACATCTGGCTGTCTGCCCATCTGCCGCCTCTTTGTCCTGTTTGCTCCGTTACTTCCATGCCCTGGTGCGTAGTACCTGGTGCTGGTACACTACCCTTTGATTTTTTCTTTAGGCGGGTGTGGGAAGCGTCCTCCTTTGTTGTTGTTTTTGTGTTCTTTTGATCGGTTTCCGAGGGCTCTTTTCTCGGACGGTCGGTGCGGTACCTGTTCTTTTGTTTCGATCATTTGGTTTTCTTTTTCCGAGTGATCTGTACCCTATTTTTGATTTGCTTCCCCGCGGCGTCGTTCGTGCCGGGTTTTGAGACCACGGGCTCCCCATTTTTTGTGGACTATAGAGCTACTGTGAGAAACAACGACAACAAACAACAACATACGCACCTGAACGTCTTGGCCGCAGTGTCGAAACCGAAGCTGATGGGCACGTACTCGTTCTTGAGGTCACCGTCGATGGTCTTGGGGCAGCCGTTCACCTGCGATCAGGAACCACGAGCAAGGCCACACCAAAAACCATGAGCCATTGTCAGCCAACAGACCAAGGAATAGCAGCAGTAGCAACAACAAGAACATGAGACTTACACTGAAAGATTTTCAGAACAACGGCATCCACATATGCATACAACGACGCAAGCAACCACACCTTCGTCTTGCAGCCGCTGGACTCGAAGTACTCGGCGAGGATGGCAGCGTTCGTGTTAGAGTCGTCTCCGCCGATCACAATGAGTCCATCGAGGTTCAGCTCCTCAGCCACCTGGCGACGACCAGACAGGTGAACGCACGGCGAATGGAACTTTGCATGCCCTGGACGTAAGAGACAGAGCTAACCGTTAAAATAGGAGTAGGAAGCCGCCCACGTTAACCGGCTCCGACAATATTCCACAAAAACAACGCTGATTACGCTTGCAATATTGGTTAATGATTGGGCCGCGGGACAGGCCAAGGAAGACCTATGCATACGAGGCAGACGCAACAGACTCCAAACGCATCCATGGTGCCCATCACTCAACCTCGGCAGCACAGCGGGGGAACGAGCAGCAGAAAAGAACAAAAAAAAAATGGCACACAATTAAGCGTGCCTCAGCGCCAGATGTCAAGAGGGATTTGCACAGCTACATTACCTTCTTGGAGGCCTCCATCTGCTCCTTAGTCTCGATCTTGTCGCGTCCCGACCCGAGCATGTCAAACCCTCCCGTGTTCCTGAGAGAGGTTGCAGCAAACGGGGGAATTGTCGGCGATTGGTCACGGGCAGCAGCGTTTGAGAGCTCGGCCGGGTACCGCTGGGAGACAAAAAACACGGCTCTGACGCACACAGACTATTGTCCTCCTATGGGTACTGCCGATACCGCTTCAAGCACGCCCAATCCGGCAAGTCCCACCGGACCACCAAGCTCTCAAGCATCGGAAAATAAAACAAATGATTTTTGCCCCATGTGATGAGCTACGTGTCCCAAACATGTGTGTGCCCACTAAATTATGGGCGTCGCTTTCAGCACCTTTTCAGTATGCTTTTGGACACCAACCAGGGTCACAGCAAGAAGGCAAGGCAAGAGATTTCTTGCATGCATACCCAAGTTGGGGCGCCACGACACGACGGCTGCGGGAGTAAAATCACTCGTCTGGATTTCAGCCTTTCGCAACGGGGGCACTGAAAGTATGTGCGGGAGCTCGGCGCATCGGGTCGCCTCAACGAGTACATGAACGAAGCTTCACATGGCCACCAAACTGCGCAACTATTTTTGAGCATACGGTTCCACGACGAATGCGTATACTACGAACGTGCCGCGTCGATTTTCATCCACACACACCATCGAAGACATCGTCGACATGTTGGCCATGCCTCGAGACAGCCTCACCTGTAGGCGTTCATCAACTCGGGCGTGATCTCCGTGCAGATGCCCTTCATCACACCCGCAGGTCCGTTCAAGAACCTGTAGTGTAGCGGAGGCCCGAGGGGGGGGGGAGGGGTACTCATAGTCGTGCATGCCGTAGTCGTTAGACCATTGACCTCGCATCCCTACAAAGCCGGGACGGAGCACGCCGGGTTCTCACCGGACCAGGCTCTCACATCACCAAGCGCGAAGCGCCGTGAGATATTCAGCGAGTCGCATGAAGGGTGCGCTGCATCCTGCTAAGGGTGTTCCGCATCTTGTGCTTACTTCCTTGCGTACGGATGACAGCTGCGTATGAATTAATTTATTTTCTGGTGCTTCATTTCCAGAGACAGTTGTTAGCACTGTGTAACTGCCTCGAGGGTACTTGACAATGTTAACACAACGTGGTGCGATCATCCCCCTTGCGCGGAGTGAGGCTTCTCTACCCCGCACAACATGATCTACTC